ATCTAAAACCACGTGACAACTGAGAACAGATTATATCAGACCTAACAATTAATCAAAGCTCTGTAAGGTACTTCAGAGAAATAAAGTAAAAGTAATAAAAATACTTTCACAGAAAATTTTGGTAAAAATTAATTTCACTAACAAGAAAAGTACTTCAAAAATTATAAAACTGCTCACAATAATGGGGACAGTAAAAGTACTTTTACTCACACTCTAAAAAAATAAAGAGTTGAATTTACTGAACTAAACTGGTTCCACTAAAACAAGGTGAGTAAATTGTTTTACATTTACTCACCTTGTTTTACTGGAACCAGTTGACATAACTTGTTTCAGTAAATTCAACACTTCATTTTTAGAGTGCATATACAAGTCCTGTCATCATGAGTTCGATCATATTTAAATTTGTAACCTGTAAGTATTCAACCTGACAAAAGCAACTAAAACTGTAGGAAAATGAGAATTGTAAATAATCATTTGAGTTAATTATTAGCAAAGTATTTGAAACTTCTCAGAAAAATGAGCACCTTTTGTTTTGACGTGCACAAGTGACACGATGTGAAGATTGAACGAGTAGTTTTGAGAATTTTAATTCTGATCTGAACGAACCAAAGTGAAATCCACCCACTGTGTAAACATGGATGCTTTTCAGCCCTAAGAAATGTGCGACACATTTCTTTTTTTTATACTGATCTGAAATTATGTTGAAAACAACACTTTGTGCACCTATTGTACATGAGGCCTCTGGTCAAGTTCATACAAAGACTTCACTGGAACTGTTTAACTGTAGTGTTAGAAAATAACCAGAATGTGGCTGAATCACAGGAAGTTTCTTTAATCCTTTGGATGGAARCTGAAGTCTTTTAGTTAAAACCTTCAGTTCATAAAGATGTCATGTAAAAAATAATCCTATCCACTGAGCCAAACTGTTTCCTTTAATAACTTTCAAATCTAATAATGAAACCTGGAGGGAAGATGAACTCAGTGCTGAAACTGTTTTATTAGATTAAATATTTAATGTCTGGATATTTTCCTTCAGCTGATGCGGTCGTACCCAAGGTACATGGCCGGACTGAGGAGGGAGGAGATGCTGCTGAGGAGAGAAAGTCAGCTCAGTTCCTCAGAGTCAGGTACACACACACACACACACACACACACACACACACACACACACAGCTGCTTGATGCAGGAAACTATGAAAATAGAGATTTCTCTCCAATAGCACCTGGCAGTCCCTTTCATCTGATCCATTAACCTTCAATGATCTGTGCAGGACTTAGTCTGAGCCCAAACTAAATGAGGAAACATGGAAATGAAGCATTTTTAAGAATTGTATTTTAATAGAAAGGTGTAGAGTGAAATCACAGATGGAGTTAACTCTCTACAGCTCAAATGATCTATTCACCATTAGCATGACTTAAATACAACTATGTTCTGTTTCCTCTGTGTTTTCCTGTTGTGAGAACCCAGAGGAAAGTTTGTGATATTTTATCTTTTAGACAGAATCCACTGTAAATGTAGAAGCTGTTGCATTAAAGTGCCTGTCCTCTGTGCAGACCTCTCCAGGTCAGTGAGCAGTAAACACGGTCCGTCCAGGACTGACCACACAAAGAACACATCAGACAGCAGGTGAACAGCACAACAGCTCAAACTGATAAAAGCCATTTCATCTCATATGAATAACTCTTTTTTTTCTGTTTTACTGCAGTAAGAATCGACGTCTGCAGAATAAAATGCAACTAAAATGGAAGAACTGACCTGCAGGAGAAACCGATGAAGTTGAAACACACAGAACATGTTGGTTTCCTTACAGCTCATTGAAACAAAACTTCAGTAGGCGATTCAGTTAAATGCCTTCAGTTTCACRCCAAGTTTGGGTTTTATAAATCAGAACGTGTGAAATGTGCAAGTTTCTGGCCCAGTTTTGCACACAAGACAGATCAGACCTGTTACCTGTTCTTAAAAAAGACCCAAACACTTCAGCTAAATTTCATGTAGTTTTAATAGGAAGTTTCTATACAACACATTAAAGTTTTCAGTAGTACAACAATAAAAAGGCAACAAAGTTTGCATCATTTAGGTTTGGCATCAAACAGAGTCATGTCTTCAGATATTTTRGCTGACAGCTGGTTTATCAGCATGAATATAATATTGCACTTTGAAAATGACACGATTTACAGACTGTAAACACAATGATGGAGTCCAGAGTGTTTCTCTTGTATGCTTTAACCTCTTTTTAGTGTTCACACGCTGACTGTGTGATAAATTTATCTAAAACTATTCCAAGAATCATTTTACATCCTTAAGGCAAGAGTGACCAGTTAGACTCTCATATCAAAAGAGAAGCTTTGCATAAATAAAGCTTTTAGGATTTTAAGGCAGGTCTTATTTTTTTTTTGATAAACTCTAAGCCCGTCAGTGAAAGCCGATGCGTAGGGCTTTGTTCTTCACCGTGGTGAACTTGCTAACAAACACCTTGGCGGCGGCGGGGTCCACCAGGTAGTGGTAGCTCTTGGTGACGGACGGCGGCGACTCTGCGAGCGTCACCGGGGGCTGCAGCTGGAGGGAGGCAGGGGACGGCGAGAGGAACTGGGAGGCTCGCATCACGTAATCCAGCAGCCGCTGATACTGCTGCTCTGACAGGCGCTCACGGACACCGTCACCCTGAGGGAGGAGTTACACAACTCTGATCAACTTCGCTGGCAACTAAACATGTAAAACCTCACAGACAGAACTGTCCTGTTCAAAGATTTGAGCCAGTTTCTTTTTCTTACATTGAACAACAGATAAATTCTCAAAAAACATGGAGGAAAAAAAAACACACATTAGGCTTTTGGTAAAACAGATGAGAGAAGCTCTTTGTGGAGCTCAGACTTCACTGTAGAATCTTTGAACTAGTGGTGTCCCCAGTTTGGGACCAGTCCAGGTTTGTTTAAAGTGTTACAGTTCAGGTGAAAGGTTTGTTCAAGAAATGTGTTTTTAAAGGAAATAATTTTTTTATTATTTATTTTTAAATAATTCCAACAGTATATATCCTGCTGTATATTTGATTTGATCCGGTCAGAGGGRCTGTGGGCTCAATAAGGCAGAAGAACCACCTTGTTTTGAATAAAAGAAATATTTTAAAGTGATTGTGTAATGTTTTAGTTCTTGTTACAGACACTGTAGTACTCTATATCGCCAAGTACCCAAACTAAAATACTTGTATTTGGTTTAAGTCAAACGGGTATTGGTGCACTCCTTATAGGGATCCCTGATTAGWTGTAACAACAMGACAAACAAGCTAAACTGAGGTCCTCCATYCATATTTTCAGTTACAGGCTGAGTCATTTTTGCGTTCCCCTCTCTGTCATGTGGATGGAGGACCGCAGTGATGAGAGAATGTGTAGCGCTGAGCTAATACATATACTGTATATGGTGATAGTGTTGGGGCTAATGCTAAAGCTAACAGGCTAAGCTGAGGTTCTTCTTCTATGAAGCAGCTCTGTTGTCCTCCATCCATATTTTCAGTTACAGGCTGAGTCATTTCTACCTTCTCCTCTCTGTCAATGCTCTCTGGTTTCATTTAAAAGAGTCGATCATCAGATATTGTCCAAGATTAACCTTCAGGGTGGATATAGCTCRCTAGCAGCCTCRCACMGAKGACCTAYCCATGTCATCATTTACCCAGAATGCTTTGTGTGTAAATAAAATGGCTCCATCCGTGTAATATATTTTAAAACTTTTAGTTTAAAAATGATAAAAACTGAACATCCTACAGTATTTTTACAGTCTTTATTGTACAGTTAATGTATATGTTTCATTCATGTCAATTTGTACGGATTGTCCGTAAGTTATAAGGATTTTACRTCATTTTGCAGGTATACGGACGTATAGAGCAATCTTACAGATTTTTTCAAGCCTTACGGATTTTTTMAAAACCTCACTTTCAAATTTATCTAACATGTCAKAGCCTGTAGGATGATTTAAAAACAATAAATAACATCAAACAGCCATCTTCCAACCTGTTCTGCAGCTAGAAATAAGTTTTGTACTTATTCTGCTCTCCCTTCCTCCTGCTCCACAGCGGCGCCTTCATGTCTGCAGCCGACAAACCCCACCCTCCCCACAGGTGCGAGTTGTACAGATTTTTTGCAAAATATATGAATTTTTGAGGCTTTTTATACAGGTAAACGTCTGAAGAGGTTGACATGTATGATGTTTATTAAATAAAGTCTAAAGTTACAACTAATCATGGATCCSTTTAAGGTCACAGGAAACTGGACAACATGTCTAAACTGGCCTTTTGATGCACTTTTTACATAATCCCAGTTTAACTTTTATGACTTTGTTCTACAGTTTATTTAACTAACAAATGATGCCAAACTAACTTTTGAACTGTCTATTAGCAAAATAGTTCAAAACTGTACACCCTTCTTACTTAAGGTCCTGTCACACTTTGACATTTTAGACAAATTATACYAACTTATGAAACTTTTAAAGACGTCTACATTAAAGATGGAACTGAARAAATGAACTGGAAGCTTCTTTTAGGAGTGTACATACAGTAATTATAACAAATTGATCAAATATACAACTTTGTTTTAGCAAATTAGACAAACTGTTTTACAAGCTGTTTAGTGTGACAGGGCCTTTAAGCACTCGTTGATATATAATTTATAAATTTAAACACCTAGTGTGTGTCTCGTTGTAGAACATGTGGTTTTCTCTCAGATCTAAAGAATGAATCTTCACACTTTATTTTAGCAGAAAATCTGCTCTCAAAAACAGGATGTGTGTTTGAACTCGTCACATTTCCCTCTGCTGCTCACAGTTGAAGATAAAAGCGTTTCAGGTTTCTGTCTCTGATTACCTGGCAGTCAGGGACCGTCAGGCACAGGTGTGTGATCAGACCACCTTTCCTATCAAAGCCTAGAGCAGATGTTAAACTCTGCAGCTTCACTTCTCTCACCTCAGAGTCACTGCTGACCGTCTGCTGCTGCAGCGTGAGCGTGAGCTGGCCCTGCTGCTCCGGCTCCTGCCGACACTCCACCTGCACAGGACCAGAGCGTTACCGTTCTCCTCCTCACATCAACACAAACACCTCATCACGCCTCTTTGATCCTGCCGCCGGKTACCTCTGTGATGGGAAAGGCCTGCTGCTGGGTGTCCTCGGTGAGGCTGACGACAAACAGCACCTCAGAGGTGAGCAGCAGGCAGCCGGCGTGCTCCTGACCCGACCCGCTCACTATGGTCACCTCCAGGGCCACGTGGAGCTCCGGTCGCCCCAAAGACTGCAGCATCTTCCTGTTGTCAGAGAAAACACCACACAGGAAGTTACACAACTTTAACGTGGTGTTTATTTAGCCACGCAGCTGGAAACGGTACTTCTTGTACGGTCTGATAGATCTGCAGCCTGACAGTCTGTTTTTATTCCTGCTCTCACACGGGTTGAGCAGGAAGACGTGTTCAGAGTTCGGTCTCGTCTCTCAGTGTTTGTTTTGGACAGCAGGTGCTCAGAGCAGAAAGCTGAAGCAAAGACAGTCAGGACTTTGGTTCTGGTCTGTGTTACAGCTCAGTCTGGACTACCAAATGTCACTGATGGAAACCAGTTTGGCAGCTGTACGCTTTAAATAAAATAAAGAGAAGATGTGACCCATCACATCGAAACAAGGATTAAGTCTAAAAATTGTACGTGGAGAAACAGGCAGATAGTGTTTTGATTANAGGATTTAAACCAAATATTTATGTATTATTGTAACCAACAAGACAAATTAAATAATATCTCTTGATCTACTAATGATATCAGGATGATCTAAGTATCAAAATGTAGCTTTTAAAGCCAGGAATATGAAAATATGATTAGGCCATTTTGACCAAATTGGACTTAATCCTCATTTCGATGTGATGGGTCACATATTTGTAATTCATAAATACCATAAAGACTCTTTGATGAGGACAACTGCTCTTATTTATCTAAAGTCTGACAGTTCCTGCCTCCACAGCTGTCAAACATCTCCTTCTAATAGCAAATTAAATGTCAGAAATCTCTTTAAAATGCTTCTTCTGCAGCCCCTGACAACACTTTGGATGCGGGAGTCTCATAAATCTTTAATAAAATGAAGAGTTTCTGGGAAATAAAAACTGTCGCAYACACTGCTGCTCAGTTCAGTTTTACACACCAGATCCTAAAAGTCATTTTCTACCAAACTCCTCTAATACATCAAGAGTGGTTTTCTTTTCTATTTGATAGAAATAAGAAACATGTCTGGGCAGAATCGCGATCAAATAAGAACAATTCAAGTTGTGGCTTTGCCTAAAAGCTTAAAAAAAACCCTTTTAACTGTGGTTTGATGAGAACAAGGAGAGGCAGGCTGGCTACCATGTGTGAGATCAAGGTAAGGAGAGAAATCCTCCAGACTTTCTGTAAACTGAACGACACAAAGGATGAAGCAAGAACACCGGTTCCTGAAGAGAAACGAAGAAAAGCAGGAGCTGGTGTTCCACTTCATGAAGGAGAGGGCAGCAGGATCATACCAGACGTATTTCAGGTGGCTGTTGGAGGCTCGGGCTGATGTTTCTTCTGCAGGGAGGTAGAGCTGTTTAGGAAGCTGCCACAGGCCGGCTCCATGGAGAATCCCTGTTAGAACAAACACGTCAGTCTCACTGTCCAGTCATTCACACAGAACCACCAACCAATGTGTGTCAGCAGCACAGAACTGGACTATGAAGCAGGTTTAGAGGCGGAGCCTGATCCAGTTCAGATCAGGGTTTTTACTGTTTGACACACTTTATTTTATCTGAGCCATAGTAACTGATGTTAAGATCACACACATCAACCCTGCTCTCTGTTGCATAAAACAAAAGAGGATCACTGTTTTTAGAAGATGAAACTAACAAAATGCATTTTTTCTTTATTAAATCATAATTTTAAAAAATGCAGTTTAATCAAAAAAAAAAAATGAGTGTCTGAGAACCAAACCACCTGTCTGCATGTCCTGATGCAGCTCAGTAATCCAGGTTGTAATGTGACAAAATATGGAAAAGTTCAATTTTTAGAAGATGAAACTAACAAAATGCATTTTTT